GTGTGTGTGTGTGTGTGTGTGTGTGTGTGTGTGTGTGTGTGTGTGTGTGTGTGTGTGTGTGTGTGTGTCCATGCTCATCGCCAAATTTCTGATATGCCCGGGTAGCATCTCTCGCGGGGCCAGGGGAAAGATTGTGAGTGTCAACAACGGCCACAGGGGCTCGCTGGAAAGTTGGACGGTACCAAGAAGGGCATATGGGAAACTTTTGTGCTGGTTCTCAACGACCCTCCGCTAGGGGCATACTGAAAATTTGGTGCTGGTAGCGGTAGGGGCATATGAAACATTTTTCAGGCCCAAACGACGCCAGGGTTTTTCTGGAAACATCATTCGTCGTCAGAGGGGCACGACTAGGTAAGTCGGGCGTCAGAGGGGCACGCCGCAAATAAACGCAAACTTCAAGGGCATCTCAAAAATTTTCCCTTTTGTTTTCTGTTCTTTTTTATTTCTTTTCTTTTCCTTTTTTTTTCTTTTTTTTTCTTTTTTTTTCCTTTTTTTTTCTTTTTTTTTCACACTTTTTTTTTCACACTTTTAGTCCCACTCACCCGAATTTTTATTATTATTATTTTTTTTTTTTTACTCACCCGAATTCCCAATTTCTGACCCTAGATTATGAAGACAGAGTCGGAAATGAAGAAGCAGCGTAAGGGGGACTTGGCCCCCGGATTTGAGCTCATGACAGGGGTTGAACTCATGACGGGCTTTGAAAAAGACCCCTCCCCAGGCAAAAGTACATCCAGGCAAAAGTACATCCTGGCAAAAGGGGCCCTCCACCGGATGCAATTTGCCTGGATGGATGTTTTTGTTGCAAACCTGGCAAAACCCACAGGCTGGTACATCTTGCCAGACGCGGCATGAGCACTACCACATCATAGAAAAAAAAATAGCTGGGGAAAAATATTGGTAGTCCCAGCCTGCTTTTCCCTACAAGAAAGGATTCTACTAGCACCAAAAGATAATTATGAACTTGCACCCCTTATCTGCCTTGTCTCAAATTGATCAAGGCAGAGAGGGAGGGGAATTACCACGCCATCCATGCCTTCGCCATCTCATTGAGAAGGGTCCGATGCAAGACCCTCTCCCCAAGGGGGACAAGGTTCTAGCGATCCTGATCCGGAAGAAGAATGGCCGATGGGAAGTGGGCCTCTCCTGGTGGAGGTAAGCAACTATGCCCCTTGTCGAGGGGCGGTCACATTGCGCGGGTGGAGGCTCCAGCAGGATGGAGAGGGGAAGGGCATATTCAAGGTGAGGGATGCGAGGGATTTTATCAATAAACACTATGAGCCAGGGGCAAAAGCTATGATAAGGGTAGGCTTTGGCTCCTGCAGAATTGCGGACAACGATCTTTACATCCTCTTCGATGAAAAAGGCGGATCTGATGTAGGTCTCACATGACCTGTTATTAGAATTACAACACCTAGGTTAAACCCAGCCATACTTGGTCTGATAAGGAGATTCTCACCTGGATGTGCTCCATGCTACGGAAAAACATTATTAACAACGGGGTAACATGGGACCTTCACTCGTGGCACTCATTATAAAACCACTGACAGGAGTGGGTGACGGGGAAAATGGAAGGAATGAATTGGATAAGCGTTGTGTACGGGCGCAACAAAGCCTGGCAACACACACTTCGGAACGTGGATTTAAATCTCAGGTCTGTCAACATCAACGGTCTGGCCACCCATAATGTGGACAAAACCCAGGCAATATGGGACCAGCTTCTGGGAGTGGGAGGATGGAACTGGCCTGACGTTGTCTGTGTTCAGGAAACCCACCTGCTGGACACATCGTACCATCACAAGGTGCATAAGGCGGTTTGGCCCTTCCAGGCATATAGGGCGCTTGCACCCGGCCCGGCAAGAGCAGGGACAGTGATTTGGGTCCCCCCTGAGTCCCGCTTGGAAGTGTTACATTGGGACCAGGACCGAGAGGAGGGACGATGGGTGTCAATATTGGGGGCACTAGAGTTGGAGGTGGTTTGTATTTTCTGCATATATGGCCCCAACACAGTGCAAGAGCGAAAAACATTTTTTGATGGAATCCAAGCAAAAAACCTGCATGGCATCCCAATCATTTTCACGGGGGACTTCAATGCTTCCCCGGACCGATGGTTAAATCGTTGGCAGGTGCTCCCCTCTACCCTGCGTCAAGCCGAAGAAGATGAAAGGATGATCAATCACTTGTGCAGTACCCTTTCTCTCTTCGACTCCTTCCAACGTATCTTTCCCACTGAACATACCTTTACCTGTTTCCACAACAACAACCCATCGAGACTCTCCAAGTCTAGGATAAATCTGATTTTGATCTCAGATGCTTTGGCGGACAGGTTAACTTTAGCAACAATTCTCCCCTCCAGTCCTCATCCAGGTCTGGATCACAAGGTGTGTATGGTGGCGCTAACCTTCCGAAAGAAACCAGACTAAGGACCTGGTTTCTACAAGTTGAACACTTTGCTGCTTCACCTTACTACATTCCAGCGGTATCTGACTCAGGCTTGGGCCTATTGGAGAGAC